ATTTGTAATTTGGTTAGGTCTCGGTGGGCCCGGAGGTTCGCCGCCAGTGCCTCCATCACCATGATGAAGAGGAAGGGGGCCAAGGGGTCTCCTTGACGCATCGACCTCTGCAGCGAGATGGCCGGTGCCAGAAGGCCGTTGACCTGGACTGATGTAGTAGCGTTGTGGTGTAAAATCTGAATCCATCGTCGAAAGACCGGGCCAATATTCATTTTGTCCATGCATTTGTCTAGAAACAGCCAATCTACGTGGTATGCTTTTTCGAAGTCGATCAAAACCACAGCGGCATTTTTTTGTCTTGTCTGGACAACTTGAGAAGTTCATTAACAAGCAGAATGTTATCTTGGATTTGACGCCCCTTGATAAACCCTGTCTGTGTCGGATGAATAAGATCCTCCAGGACTGGGATCAAGCGGTTTGCCAGTGTTTTCGCCAGCATTTTATAAACGACAGTGAGCAAAGTGATCGGACGGTAATTTCGGATATCCATTCTGTCCCCTTCTTTGTGCAACAGGGTAAGAACACCTTGACCTACCAGTTCGCCCATGTGGCCCTACTCCCACACCTGATGGTAAAAGTTCATGAGGTCCGGGGCCATTTGGCTCCAGAATGTCTCCCAAAATTCTTTCGGGAGCCCGTCCAGCCCCGGAGTTTTTTCCTCTTCCATTTGCATTAAGGCCGTCCAGATTTATGCCTGTGACAGCGGGCGGTTGAGTTGGTCCCTCTGTGGTGGGGTCAAGGATTTAGTCATTGGTTTTAGGAATTCCGCGATCTCTGCCTCTCTGACCGTCCCCTCCTTTTGTGCACACCTTGAGGTAAATAGGTCTTTGAAGAAGTTCCTCGTAATTTTCATGCATTGAGCGGTGGAGGTAACCACCTCCCTGTCAGGTGACGGTGGGTCATATAGAGCTTCTATAATAGTCCGTCGGGAGTGTACTCGGGCCATACTGAAGAACTTTTTATCCATTGACCCTTCTGTCTGGTGACGGGTCAGCCACCACCTGATACGTGTGCCCTCCCAACGATGTGCAGCGAAGTCGTGAAGCTGTTGTTGCAAGGAGCGTAGTTGCAAATCAATTGTGTGTGTTTGCGACAGTGTGTGTGTCCCGTTTGAGGAGGTCTCTTGCTCAAGCTGGTGATATTGCTGATGTATGTCCATCTCCTGTTGGTTTCTGCGGATTGCCAGAACTTCAGAGTATTCTTTGCATTTTTTTCCTAAGTAAAACAGGTCGTTATTAAACCACTCTGATTCCTGTTGAAAGTGTTGTTTTTGGCTCTGCCAGAAGGCCCAGCAGTCTATAATGTAGGTTTGGAAGGATTTATGCTGCAATATAGATGTGTTTAGTTTGTAGAAACCAGGGCCTTGATCAAGTTTCTTACGGAAGGACATAATTATCGTACACATCTTGTGATCAAGTCCTGGGTGCGGACTCGCGGGGAGGATCTACCTTCTTCCCCCAAATACAATAGTTGTATCTAGACTGAAAGATACCCCAAATACAGCTATAATAATAACAGTACGTTGTATTCCGGCGAAGACGGTAGTAGTAGCTCTAGTTCTGGCATTGGCGTCAGTGAAGAAGGGTTTTCCCATACTTTTTTTTTTTTTTTTTTGGGGAAAAGGGTTTTCCCATAGTCCCATCAGCGATTTCTTTTTAAATCTAAAAGCTTGAACCCTTCAAAGTCCAGGCTTGGGTCTCTAGAGGTCTGTACATTGCTGGCATTTCCTACAAAAAGGGTCTTGCGCTTTTTGGAGGTTATTGCATGGGCTCATTTCCAATGGGTTCTCAATTAGCTTTCTGTCACATTGGTCCCTCCGAAGCAAGGGGTTCTCTAGGATTGCCCTTCTATCCCTTTTTCTGTTTTGTTTTCTGTTCTTTTCTTTTGAGGAAATTGCTCCGACCTATTCGTGGGGGTATTTTCACTACCTCTGTTATGACCCTGGCCAATTTCGAGATACACATCCACTGAGAAGTACAATGCCATCCAATTGCAGAAAGAAATGAATGAACTTGAGAGGAGAGAGAGGAGTAGAAGAAGAAGAAGAAATGAGAAAGAAGAAGAAGAAGATGTACACCAGCAAAGATGATGACAAGGCTCTTCTTCTTCGCCCAACAATCTCCTCCTCTTTATCTCCCCCTTCTCTTATTCATACAAGAAATAATAATACAATGTTGAATGACTGGTCCAGAATCATGTCCGAGTCCCTCTTCTACTGCAGGTATCACTCAAGGTCCACCATAGCCATGGCCGCCCCTCCCACACTTCACTCTCATAGGCCGAGGCTATGGCGGACTACTAGGCCTTGCTCCGATGCCCAAAGGACAACACAAAGCAGCTATGGCTGCTCGGACTCAGGCCGCCATGCCCAACCCTGCCCTTAAGCTTCTTGGTGTGGCTCTCCCTGGCTGGGGACTCCTTGCTGCAGCGCCCACCAAGGTGATGAAGATGGCTGCCACCATAGCCAGGTAAGTACCCCTGGCGCTCCTCCCCCTTCCTCCTTCCTTCCTCCTTCTTCCTCCCTCTTGTCCTTCTTCTTCCTCCCCAGCAGCGCAGCTCCAACCCAGCGCTGCTCCCTCCAGCGCTCCACCAGTGTGTCGCCAAACTTGCACACCGAAAAAGAGGCCGGAAGCCCGGCCGGAAGATATAGCGGCCTGCTTTGCCTCTTGGGCGGTGACTTCCAGGCCGCTGGCCTTCCCAAGCAACCGGTACCTCTTCCTCCTTTTGG